TTCATGTTTGACAACTTCCAATTTTCGTACCTTCCAAGTTCTGATTATTAATGGATGTTTGCAGCTGTTTATTCCCATTTTGAGTGGTGCCCCATCAGCAAATGGAGTTCCTGAAATCTTACTCCATCCTCATCATTAAAGTTGGCTCTACTCTGAGGAGTCAGCTCTTCCCCAGTCATATTTTGAGTACCTTCTGACTTGAAGGACTCATCTGGCACTATGTCAGACAATGTTTCAGGGCCATTCATACAGTTTTCCAGTAACATAACAGACAGTGTTTCACTGCTATTCGTAAGGTTTTTACTGGCAATTCTTTAAGTGGATGGCCCCTTTCTTCTTCGTAGTCTGTCTTAGTTTGGAAGCTCTGCTGAAACCTGTCCACCATGGGTGACCCTGCTGGTGTTTGAAATACCAGTGGCATAGCCTCCAGTCTCATAGCAACACACAAGCCACCACAGTAGGACAAACTGACAGACGAGTGGTTGGGGATGGGCATAGACTCTGCTGAACATGCTATGTGTGGCTTAATACCATATTTTAAAAATGTAAGAACAGATAGGAAGAAGGAGGGTGGGACATACACCAGATCAAAGCACTGCTCATTCTCTCTGTTCTGGTTCCCTAGTGCTGCTCTGACAGGAATATACCCACAAATGGTATGCCATTAACAAACAGGAGTTTATTCTTTCACAGTTTGGAGGCTTTAAGTCCAAATTCAAAGTGCCAGGCTCTAGGGGCTGGGTGAAAGCCCCTCAGCCTTGGGCTTCAGCTATGCCCCTAGCTCCTAGCCCACTGAAAGTAGAGGCTTTTCTTCACTCAGACAGCTGCTGGCTGCTGAGGCTGCCAAGCCCAAGGTGGACAAGTAAAAAGGCACACCCCTGATGTTACCAAACCACACAGCAGGCCATTGATTTAAGTCCATTGTAAGTCCCAAGGTCGGGAGAGCATGGCAGGCTGCTGAACAATGACATGACTGTATGCAGGGTCCAAGCGTGCCATAAGCTAGAGACCATTCCCAAAGCTGATGCTTATATATGGGAAGTAGACCACATACCCAAAGCAGCTACTCAGCTGCTTGTGGTAGATCCCACCATGGAGTTGATTGCCCATCTTATCCTGGGGAATAACTACCACCAGCTGCCCAGCCACTCAACTGGGCCCAGCCAGGTTGACACACAAACATAACCACCACAATTCCACCCCTTGTCAACTTGGCATCTGTACAGATCTTCATTGGGTGCCATCTGTACAGATCTCTCTCACAGGTGGCTCCAGTCCCCTAGTTCCTCTAAGTGACTACCTCACCCCCGTGGCCTGGGGGCCCCATTCCCCTCCCTCTTGGGCATGGCAGCCCCGCCCCTCACTCTTGGGCAGTGGCTATGGCTCCATCCCACTGGCTCCCATGGACAAGCAGCCCCACACTCCAGAACTAAGTTGGTGAAGGCCTGGCTCTTTGACAGCTGGGGGGCTGGGAGTGGGCTGTGGTGGTTCCACCCCCAAAGGCCATGGTCCTACCCTTTCAGGCTGAGGCAGCTCTGCTTCCATTTCCTTGGTCTCTCTGCTGCTGGCAATTAATGCCAAAGGCAACCTACTCCGCAGGAAATCTTCCTGTCCCAAAAAGCACTCAGCTTTCTTGCTCCTTGGGCCAGCCAAACTGCTACTCAATGTCAAGCCAGTCTATTCTACCAATTAATGCCCGAAGCAACCCACTCCACCAGGAAGCCACCTACGCAGTGGCACATGGCTTTCTTCTCCATGGGCTGGTAAGGCTGTTGCTGTTTAATGCCAGTCTCTGGGCTCTGCTACTGCTGTCTTTCATGCTGGTCTCTCTGCCAGTATCTCTCAGCCAGTCTCGTGGCTCTGTTCCTGCTGTCTCTCATGCTGTATGCCAGGGTCTCTCTGCCAGGGTCTTGGGTCAAGGATGCACTCCACTCCTGTTTCCACATTTTAGATATCTGTCAGAGCAGCACCCTACTCTCTCGGTACCATATTCTGTTCTGGTTACCTAGTGCCGCTCTGACAAGAATATAGCACAAATGGGATGGCTTTAACAAAAGGGTTTATTCTCTTACAGTACAGAAGGCACTAGGGGCTGGGTGAAAGCCCCTCGACTTGGGCTTCAGCTCTGCCTCTTGCTCCCAGCCCACTGAAGCTAGAGGCATCTCTTCACTCAGGCAGCTACTGGCTGCTGAGGCTGCCAAGCCCAAGGTCGACAAATAAAATGGCACAGTCCCAATGTTACCAAACCACACTGCAGGCCATTAATTTAAGTCCATTGTAAGTCCCAAAGTTGGTAGAGCATGGCAGGCTGCTGAACAATGACATGGCTTCATGCAGAGGCCAAGTGTGCCATAAGCTAGAGACCATTCCCAAAGTTGCTGCTTATATATGGGAAGCAGACCACATACCCAAGCAGCTACTCAGCTGCTTGTGGTAGA